GGGCTGAGTTTTCTTGGCTATTGACGCCAGGCGCACTTATCTCACTTGCTGATTTAAACTAGTAAAACTAATAATAGGTTCGGGCAATCCTCCAACCCAAAAAAGAGCGATGAACAGAAGTGGGATACGTGCAGACTAATGGAGCTGTTGTCTTTGGCTTCCTAGCATGTTCCACCCATCCCATCCCTCTTTTTCTGATAACAGCCCTAGCCCCTTGGCCACAGGAGTGGCCTCATGCAGCCTGGCATGTCGGAGTTCTTCCAAAGGCCTGTATAACGACTTTGGAAGAAAGATTTTCCCTTGTTTTTGTGGTGGTTCATTTGAAACAGCGTTCCCACCATGTGGAGAGTCTGCAGAACGAAGCCCAAGCAGAGACCAACACAGAGGTCAGGGAAAGCAGCCCAGGTCTCTCCATCCTGTGAGATACCACTGTTATCATTCCCTGCACATGAGCCAGTGCATTCCTGTCCTGCTTAAACAAGCTGAAGCTGGATGTCTGTTCTTTGTAATCAATACAATACACAGTATTCTAAACCTCTACTTTAAATTCTCCTTAGCTTAGCTGTTCTTTTGAAAGTTATTTGCAGCAAACAACTAAAGTTTCAGATTTGGGAGGGTGAAATCCCCAAAGGAGATCCCTGGGCCTTAAATACTGACTGGTTGAGAAGTTGTGATGATAATTAAAGAGCCCAGTGGAATTCTCACTAGAAGGAGGGGACCCACCTTGAGCTGGATCAGAAGTGCCCACAGGCCACTTTGGATTTACCCTATATCTTCATCAGGTACCAGATGGGCCCTGCAACAGAGGCCTACACCACAAAGCCTGGGAGAACCCAAAGCCTACGGTAGAATCCAAAGAAGGTGTTACCATAGCCAGTCATTTCAGTTTGTCATAACTGAGAAGGGCTTATATTTCTGATGGCATTTGCTCAACTGCCACATCCTAGAACAAGAGCTACACTGAATGCAATACCATAGCTTGGAGGACACGCTTGAACTGTTTTCTGTGGCAGGAAGGCATGCACTGCATTTATCTAAAAACTATATGACACTATTTAGGAATTAAACAGGAGGTCTTAGGAACAGCCTTGCTTTATACTTTTTAAGATAGGAATTTACTTGGTTTAAAGGAAATCTCCATCTACTCTGATTCTGGAGGAGATACTGTGGCTTTTAGGAATGTTGATAGCTCAGAATTGGCATTAGCCCACAGACAATTCCCATCCACCAAATTAAAGTCTAATAAGAGATTGCATGCAGAAGACTTGAATTATTAGGCAAGGATCTCACTAAAGCTGGACATTGTGAGGTTGTTAGGAAACTCATTTCAAAGGATATGTAGATGAACACAGCTCTGGGAAACCAATGCTTATTTAACCAGTTCTCAAAAACTAACTTCATCGTGGCTGCGAGGACTCCATAGTGGTGTGTGAAATCAATTATAGAGAACCTCTCAAAACTACCAAATGGAGACTTTTACAAAAAGGCATTTTTTTATCAGGTCAGATATTTCATTGTTGGTTTCAGTCTCTCAAGAAGTGAGACTCTTTTTCAGACACCCCTTTATTTTTCTTTAAATTTAACCATATTCCAGCATCTAGTGGAGGCACAGTCCATAGACTCCCTTCATTCAAAACCACTTTAATTGCAAAAGGCGAGCATACTGTTTCTTCTGTGTGATCCTCAGAACCTTCAATTCTGCCAAACAAAAACAACTATAAAAAAATTCTTCCAGGGTGATCATTTTCTATGGTATATAAATGTCTAATCCCTGTGTTGTACACCTGAAACTAATATTTCATGTCAGCTGTAATTGAAAAATAAAAAATTAAAAAATTCTTCCAGCTGATTTATTTTTAAGGCATAGAGATGGGGAGAGCAGACAGGCAAGAAGGCATTTGTGCCTTTTATCTGAGGATTTCCTTCCGAATAAACTTGTATGACGGATCTGGAGGGAGATTTCGTGGGTTCAGATCCTGGTTCCACCTCTTGATTAATAGCTGTGTTGTCTTGAGTAAGTCACATAACCTCTCTGAATCCCAGTTTCCTCCTCTGTAAACGGGAAACAGATATTCAAAGCTCGAGTAACATTCAAAACACGGGGTTGTCACATGGGAAACGCACAACTTTTCTATTTACACTTGACCTCCCCGGAGGCCCAGAGATTACAATTCCTACCTCGTTAACTAAGACACATCCCACCTTTCCCACGGGCTTGCCCTTTCCCAGCCCTGAAGACCTCTTCTCGCAAAAATACTGTGCACCA